GCTCGCTCGCTCTCTCTCGCTCTCGTACGCACGCACACTTTGTACTGATCTTCAACCATGATAACGATTAAATCACATTGAAGTCTAACATTATTAGGTATAATTACCTTAACAATGAACTTACTGACTAATACTTAACGATACTAATAATAAATATATGTTGCCTTTTTCGGCGACTTTTTAAAGAGAACAGTGATGCTCCAAAAATTTGGAAAATAAAAAATTGATTCTTCTGGATGGATACTTCTCCATTATTTTACTTGACGCTCTTACATCCAGTTTGACATTTTATTCTAGATATCGCATTGTCTGTTTTTCGATCGACATTTTTTCTTCGTATACTACCTAATTTATTAAATCAATAAATTTACTAAATATAAAAGATGAGTAAAAGTAAATTTCGAGTAATAATAAATTACTATGTAAAATATTCAAGTTTAGGCTGAATTAAAGATCTTCTAATTTGCTAAATAATTGTAGAAATAATATGAAAAATGAGAGTAGCAACGCTATTGTTGGAGTGCAAAATTTTAATATAGTATATAGCCATCGCGTTACAAATTTTTTGAAAAATTTATAATGTGATAGCTATTATATATTAAAATGTTGCATTTCAATTAACAATCACGTTGCTACTCCCATTTGCTATATTACTTTATTATCGAGATTTCTGTATTTCAGTTTATTTGCTAAATAATTCTATTACATACTAAAAATGAAAATATTGTGAAAAATTTTCTGTTTTATTAAAAATTAATAAAAATTGAAAACGATCATAAAAATTATTGACTAAAATATATATGATAGTTATATCAGCACCCTGTATTTTATATACATCAAAAAGTCAAATATTGTTAAAAAAATAATACACATAAAATAACTCAATTGTGATACATTTTATTACACACTTTCAAAAAAATATTATAAAAGTGTAAAATTAAAGTATAAAAATACATTAATAATCTATCGCAATTTCTACTTTTCCTTTTCCGAAATTGATTTCATATAATTGTGATTAGCATTATGCATGATTGCATTTTAAAGAAGATAAGCGAACCTTGTAAATTTGCAACGAAATTTAAGTTAGTTAAATTCATGATCTAATTTTGTAAAAAGAAACAATTAAAGCTCATTGGTCATAAAATAATATATGAAATAAGAAAAAACACATCTACAATAATTCGACTAATAATCGAATCTTCTGAACAATAAATAATATATTAATAAAACATGATCGCTGATTATATCTGGATTTATAATTCATTAATTCCTTCGTTTTTTATTAATTCCTACTGTTTTCGAGACTATTTTTCTTAACAATGTACTGTCGATCGATTGTGTAATCATTTAATTATTTACAACACATAGCGTATAATTCTTTTCCTCCATTTTGGTTCAATATCTTACTGTTTCATTTATGATTAAGAATAAAGATCTAAAAATATCTGAGCTACGTGAGCATTTCGTATGTCCATCCAATGAGGAGGTATATAAATTACACAATAAAATTACATATGGTACAATTACGTATGGTACAATTTAAAAATAACATAAATAACAATGAGAATATAAATTGTTAATCGGAAAAGATAAAAATCGCATATTATTTGAACGAACGTTATAGAATATAGATATACTAAAATGATAAATTACAACTCTTGTTTTTAGAGTAAAATTGAGCGTCGATAAAGCGATGTCGCGACGCGGGCGAAATTTTTAGCAGGAGAAATATTTTCTCGCTGATTACACATTCACGAAGTGAAAAGAATCTGAAAGCGAAAATAAGCTTTCGTGCGTCTATTTCAGGGACGATTGATACGTGTGTAATGTATGTATATGTGTACATGGAATTGAACATGTACAATACAATGAGCGGCTTCACGCGCCCAAAAATATTAACTTTCACCGCACATCGTCAATTTTATTATTTTCACCAATAAGACTTTACCCTCCCGTTTCCGACAAAAAATTTATGGCTAGAGCAATTTTTACTGGTGATTCAAAAATCCCGCCACGCGCTGCAAATAGGAAAAATTACGATAGCTTCCATTCATTTTTGATGGAGTCATCGTGGCAGCGAGTACTGGTCACACATGACCCAAACAAAAACCTCGCCATCTGACGTTTCCGCTAAATCATGAGGACAACGCATTTGCGATCCTGAAGCGTCAACCAAACATAATAGCGTTCCTCGGCATCGGGTCCATGTGATGTTCCAGCTTTACTAAGCGAACATAATTACGGCCGTAATCCGTGAACGCCATTCTACCGTCCCAATGAAGGGCTATACCCAATGGACGGTCCATTTCCTCCTGACCAGGCTTATAGGAATAGATCAACGAACCAACCGAGTTAAACGCCTTGATTGAATTGTGACGAGAGTCTGCGACTAGAATACTACCGTCGTCGGCAGCAATAATGCCCTGAGGCCTCTGAAACGTGGGGGTGTTCTCCTCGTTCTGTCCATCACCGGTTTCTCCATCTTGCCTCTTGCCTTTTGATTCTTTCTCACATTTAAGTATGCGCATTTCTACCATGTTATAGTCAATTATCAATACGTGGTGGTTGTTGAAATCCGTGACAATCAACTTGCCCTCGTTATTGAAGCAAATACCGCGCGGCGAGTCAAGATACCTCAATAGATGCGGTTGGCCGCCGAACATGCGTAAAGGAATACCCTCAGGGCTAAATAGCTGGACACGATGGTTTCTCGTGTCTGTAACTGCAATTTCGCAAGCTGAGTTCACTGCCACGTCCCATGGGTAGCAGAATTGGCCCTGTTTCTCACCGTGCTCACCGAAAGCTCTCAGGAATTCACCCTCCATTGTCAGAATCTGAAACGTAGGTAATGCTATCGGTTGTAGCTTACACGTTCGAATGATAATCTAAATACAACGCTTGAAAGGATATTATATGAGAGGATCATGCATAAACCATTAACCCAACAAACACTGACTAACAGTAACATAATTGTTAGTTATAGTTTCTCAACGAAACTGTAATATAACATATGCGTATAATGAACAACTGTTACATTACTATTAATTTGTGTTTGCTGGGATGCAGTGTGTGTCACCAACCTGCACGCGATGGTTGTCCTTATCGACCACGATGAGACGACGTCTGGCATCGACGGCAATTCCGGCTGGACGATTAAATTGACAAGGGCCGTTGCCGTAGGTCCCGAATTTTCTGACGAGCGTACCGTCCTCGCGATAGATTTGTATACGATTATTGGATCTATCGCTGATTATAATGTTACCTTCGTTGTCACAAATTAATCCCCACGGACGGCAAAGATTATCAGGATTGTTCTCACCAAAGTAGCCAAGGATTATAACGTCTGTGCTCCTAACTTGCAACTCGTGTTTTCGATTAGGCAAACAGATATTATGATCGTAGTCAGTTATCGGACGACCGCGCGGAATCGGTTGCATCATTTGCTCGTTTATACCGTACGGGAAGTACGATTGCAACGATTTGTAATCGCGATTCGGTAGACGATCTCCGATCGTGCCCGGGCCGTTCACTAAAATGTTTCCCCCGTTGGCGATCACGGACAGCACGTTGTTATCGGAACTCCTGAAGGAGATCCAGTTCTCATCTCGAAGTGACCGAGCCTTTGTCTTTCGACTTTGACGGATCTGCCAAATCTATAAAATTTAAGAAATGTCTTTGTAAATTCACAACTGAGGAGTAACTAAAGCCTTAACGGTCTAAGCTATGATCTGCAAACTACGAACCGAAATCATTTTCAGTCTTGAAACGCAATCATAAGCCGAACTGGAGTAATAATATCGCAAATTAAATCGATAAGCAATTTAATAATATTATATTAATGTTAATTACAATCTTAGAAAAAGATGTTAATAATTTTGAGACACAACTGCATAGATATTTAAATATTTGTAACAAAAGTTAAATAAATTTGTATATATAATAAAAATATGTACCTCAGCCAATACCATATCTTTTTTTTGTAAAAGATCGTCAGGGGATGATCGTGCCTCTTGGATGGCGCATTTGAGTGCACTGATGGCCTGTATCAGCCGTGCTTTATCCTCTTTTAAATTCATGTACTTCTCCTGAAGAACCTCGTACTTCCATCGACGCGTTTCCACGATTTGTTTAAACAATTTCTTCTCCCTTTCTTCCACCGCGGACCACATTCTACGTGAAAAGTACTTCACATCAGTGAGCGCCTCCCTGGTTCTCTGATCTAATGCTGCTATGTCCAACTGCAAAAGAAGCATACGATGTAATATAATTAATTGACTCACAAGCAATTAATTGACTCACCCCCATATTTTCCATATCATCCACGAGGACGTCGATCCCGAGATAGGCCTCGATCAGCACCTCTTCAGCCTGACGCTGAGCGGATTCGAGGAATTCTACAAACTCCACCGTTACATGTTTATGAATGCACTGAGTGGCGCATTCCTTGCAGATTGTCCTGCAGCAAGTCTGACAGTAAAATAGTTGAGTGTATGGATGATCATTGCATTTATACGACGTCATGGCTCTCACGGAATGATTGAATCGGTCCTCCTCCGTTTCTTTCGCCGCTTCTTCCTTGTTCACCATCAATATTGTGCTAACTGCATTCTCTTCTACATTTAAGACTCTCGCAGGTAACTGCTGTTTCAAGTTATTTTCCTTCTTTATTTCATTCTCTATCTCTAATTCCTCTGATATCGACGGTATCAGCGGCAAATCGGATGGATCTCTTTGACTACTTGGGCTACGAGTTTGCTGCTCCCGTGATGGTATAGCTATATCGTTCTCGTCTTTCTCCAGATCTTTCGTCATCAATGTTATTAATGAATCGTTGAGCGCATCTCCCTGAGCATTTGGGCAATGTTCCTCATGTATGAGTGATTGTCGACTGGAGGAGATGTCGTCTAGCAGATCGATCTTCAGAAGATTCATATTGAGATCTTCGAATGTCTCATAGTTCACCTTGCAGCCCTCGTGATAGTTAGCGCTTGAGAAGTTCGGACCGAGTACATCCGTTACGCTAGCATCTTCAAACATTCGAAAATAGTCGAAATGATCCGGAGAATCGGTATCCAGCTGGTGAATTGGCGAATGGGTCGCTAGATTGTCATCCGAAGAGCTTGACCGACTCTCACTCGAACAGCTTAATGAACTGGCAATCGTAGGTCTTGGACTGTACAGTTTTGGATATTCGTTCAAAGAATCTACATGATTGAGAATCGAATGGCTAAACGAATTATCCTTGGAATGCTGCTGCGATAGTTTCCCCGGAGGAAACTGTTTCAGAAAGCGATCTGAATTAGAATCCGGAAATGAGCGGACTTTCTTAGCAATAGTAAACTTCCTTGGCGTAAAATGTTGATCATCTTGTTTTCGCGGCTTATTTGTAAGCTGAAACAAATTTTCGTGTGGCTTTACTCTATATTAACAAATTCGGCGTTTACTAGCTTAATTAAAAATCTATAAACAGTTCACAAGAATCGATAAATCGTGTGACGTATTCAGAAAAATGTAAAATTCTCCTTAATGAAAAAATAACAAGTACGTTAAAATTCTTTGCGGTTTATTTGAAAGGCAATTTTCAAATATTCTGATATCAGGTCCAATGCATGTTACATGCAGTGTCATCATTATATAATACTATAAGTTTTTGACAAAGATTGTCAAGTTATAAAGCAAACAATGTCTGACATATTTACTTCCACACATACTTGTTCTTTAAATTCTTTGGAGTGGAATGTCACTGTAAAGAGTAAAAATTGAGCTAATCTTGAAAAAGAATGGTTTAATTTTCAATCTTTAAGATTGAGATTTCACTCTTCGAAGTAAGATTCACTCTAAAAGTTTCAAAGTTTTTTTCACGAATGATATATCAATCACTAATCCCTTATTTTATCATTTAAATTTTTGTTTATTATAAGAACTTTACTATAAAGAATACATTGTATACATGGATAATAAAGGACTAACATATGTACTTGAAAACTGTCCCTCAAATAAATCGCAACAGCTTTTGCACATATAAATTCTGTAAGATTACAGATTATTTGTAGGCACTTACTTGCATAGAATGGCGGTTGCGAGAAGATTTTAATTGATTCATTGTGGTGGGCAAAAATTGTTGGTAAAGTTCCAAGGAGGTCTCCTGTGTACGAGTGAAAAATCTTGTTTTCCTGAAACAATAGTTATAGCGAGCTGTTGAAATACTGCGATCAGTATACTATCTTCTTAGGCCTATCAACGTATTTTCCTATTATGCTATTTCCTATTATGAATTATGATTGTTATCTAATCGAGTATTGCGACTCAGAAGACTCACAAAATTATCAGATTTTTCTCATTGTACTTCTTTATCTAGAAATTCTAGAAAATCCACTTGAATTTTTGGGATTTAATGAAATTTAAGTCTCAAGAAAAAGATAAGTTTTATATTTGAACGGAACGAAAATCAATAACAGCTCCGAAGAGAAAAAACTTGACAGATATTGCGTTGAGATTTTTTGAGATTAAAGTAAAATTTATTCGTGGCTTTTTAAGTAAAAATTTATTCTTTAGAAAGTTATTTAAATTTTTTTAACGGTTAAATATTATATAATTATTATATAATACATATATATATATATATATTCTTTACTAACAATAAATAATAAGAAGAGAATAGTGTAGACATAGTGACCTTTACACTTATTCATAACGAAATGCGATAATTCTCTCGAGATATTATTTACATATGACAACAAGATTTCTTTGAAATTGTAACAGTTTCAACCTTGGGCAAAAACGTCCTGCTTGCTAAACGCGCTTGCTTTATCGAGTATCTATATGATATACATGTAAAAACATATTTCACGTCGCGTATGAACATTATCGCGATTTCTATTATCGTGCACGATTATTACATTTATGCTGCATTTATGCATTTTTATTGCGTATTTGCATGACTTGGCGATGACAATCCTGTCCTGTTAATTGACAGCTATGAATAAATTTGAAAAATATATATCGTTAAACTTTAAAACAATATAAATGGTAATTTTTCTTGAGATTTTTTTATGAAAAATCAATTGCACATCGACAAAAAAACTTACTAACAAAAAGAAATAATACGTTAGGAATCTAAGATATACTGTACAAGATATCGGGCATTATAAGAAGTGACGTTTTCACGCCTGCGAGATAAATTTATTATTAGATATTATCCAAAATTTGGAAACTGATAAATATGTCGAAATTCCACTCGAACGATCGGCTGTAATTTTTACTGTGCCCACCGCGTCGATATGACGACTTACCTGTACTTTTCTCGAAACGAGCTTTTGCAAGGAAGCTTGTTGATATTTGAACCACCACGGTCTTTTGTTCGCACCGAACTAAACCGATCAAGTCTCGCATTGTTGACAAGGATTTGTCTCACGATGATGAGGTCACTTCGGTACAATATTCGGATTATACAGTGTGTCTTATTTCTAAGCATTAATTTTTAATACTCAACTTGAGATAAATTTTTTCTTATAAAAAATATTCATCTCTCAGATTTTTTGTTATTAAAGAAAAGGAGCATTTTTTTTCTTTAATTATTCATAACTCGTAAATAAAAATCATCGTACCGCAATTTAAAAAAAAAAAACAGATTCTAAAGCTGCAACTTTGCTATATCAAATGGTATATTTGCCTTTTTTTTTTAAAACATGTAGACATGACGCAAATAAAGTAACGCTACGAACTTTTGTCCCAATTCAATATATTCTCATGTGAACATTTTGTACATAAACAATATTTAATTTCGCCATGGAAAAGTTTGCTTTTCACATAAAAAATGTAATAAGCAACAAGTCTGTATATTTATACCGCACGATATATTCTCTGGATTAATCCCAAAATCATATCGTTCCCTCGCTTTGCTGGAAACATATTAAAACCAAGATTAAATCGTTGTCGTTAATATCTCTCTTTATAACATTTTGAGAAAGAGATCGTTTTAAAATCATTAAAACCAAGCAGCAGCGTTATTTTCTCGTGATTCCGCATTTATTAGAAAAATCGAATTGTAAGTTTCGTTTTTCTGTAATGTGGTATTTGCATGACTGGTAAATGTAAAAGCAAATGGCTCCTGTTCATTCAGAACTACTATCTCAGACTATGATGTTAAAAGCGAGAAAAAATACGCGATAAAAATTCTTAGAAAATGTATTAATATAAAAATATATTTCAATAAAACGACACTTAACTAATAAAAACCAGCTTATAAAATACACCGAAAATTCCCTTTTTTCGTTAATTAATAAATAACCAATTATCTGAAAATAAATTGTGCGTAATTAAAAACGAAATAAGTTACATTCGCAATTAATAATATATTGAAATAGATATGATTTAAATTTCTCACCGAAACAAGAGAACAGTTTTCGATATATTTTATATAGTATAATGTAGAAGAATTTTTATCATGTATTCTCTCGCTTTTAAAATTGTAATAGTGAGTAAATAGGAATTTTTAATTGTAAATTTTATCTGAGTTGTCTAAATGTATGAATGCGTAACATCGATTACATCGAGTACTGGATTGGACTTCCTTCGTTATCGCATACGATATATGCTTAAATGTGCGAAAAAACTATTACATCCTCAATGTTTAAGTATTAAAACTAGGAATGAGTTCAAGAATGTGTCAATGCTTGCTATATCGCACAAAGTCAGGTAACACCCCGTATATTCATCTCAATTAAAACGCACATATATTGTGTGATAATCGTCTACTATCGATTTGATGTACCATCAGCGTACGTCATAGTTAAGAATCGAAATTAACAAAATTCGCGTTGTTTTTTCATGCCTTATAATTTTATGTTTCTATTATTATGTTTCTATTATTATACTCAATTTTATATCGAACGGAAGCATATCCGAAGTACTTTTTCCGGAACGCTCTGTCGCGAATGTGGAGGGTAATATCCTTGAAATCGCCATGGCGACCAAGGTCGGATCCGCTTTTCCTCTCGAGGGTTAGGAAGGAGGAGAAAGTAAAATGGCCGTACACCTGCGGCATGCTGCGTGCCGTCTCTATGAGCGTTACATACGCGCACGAACGGATCATACCACCCTGCATATAGACGAGCATGCGTGATTCGACAATATTTGTCCAAAATATATGTACAATGGGTCTGCTGTATATTTTGTCTCTCGTGTTTCGACATGGCTTGATCAAATTTCGTTTGTATCAAAATGCCTTTGTCTGGCTCGCGTATCGATTTGTGAGTTTATTCGAGAATTTTTATTTCGCTTTTATTGTGCGATATTTGAAGAGCACCATACCGACGATTTATCGTGAGCTTCATTTTTTCCGCATGATTTTCCACGTAAAATTCAATCCTTCTAAATTGTAAAAGTTACGCTAGCTAGAAGATGTTAGAGGAATATTTTTACGTGATTAGAGAAAAAAAAAAGGATTAAACATCGTTCTCCCCTATGTTCTCTTGTAATTCCTTGATACTTGTGCACAAAGAGAGAGAGAGAGAGAGAGAGAGAGAGAGAGAGAGAGAATTAAGTTTTATTTATAAAAAAAAGAAAAACGACATTTTATCTCAATAGATCCCTGATATGAAAAAACATGTCTTTTTACAACAAAAAATTTTTGTTACAGAACTCTAATTAAAATAAGTACTTCTTACAGCTTCAACACGCTGAATCCAAATTCAAGTAAAAATATTCTATCAGATTTAAAAAAAAAATGAAATAAAAACCCTTCAAAAACGCACTTTTCAGGATTTCAATTTCTTTTTTATTTTTAACGAGATCTACAGTTTTCGAGATATTTAATTCATTTTTTTTAATTTAATGTGATAGAACATTTTCTCTCGTATATTTGGATGTAGCGCGTCAAAAACTATAAGAACCACCTATTCTGATTAAAATTACTTGACTAAATTTTTTTGTCGATTAATGCAATTAAAATTGTAAAATAAGTAATAAGAGTTTTCATATTCACAGTTGAGAGTTAACATGAATCCTCGACAAATATTATATTGTCAAAGCTTCCTGTATTTTTAATGGTTTTAGATTTGTCTAAATCTGTAGCATTTGTAAGGTTTACAGAAAGCCTGCATCGACGTATTTTTTTATAAGTACGGTCGGAGTCCGCCGCCTTCGTTTTCATCGGTGGGCTGAATGACGTCGCCTGCCACTTTCGCTCTCGTTCACGTTTCAATGCCGTACCATTGAAATGTTTCACGACTACATGAGTCCCGGAAAATCGCGAACAACGTGACGTCAGATACGTAAAGATGAAAGCGGCTAACGTCCGTTTCCATCAATGTAGATTAACTTTAATCTTAGTTTAGCTTGCTATTTATCTTTTCCTCTCTCTTTCTTTAATTCTAAAAATTAGAAAAAGATAAAAAGTAAATTGGATTGAGATTAAAGTTAAGTTTACATTAGTGGAATTGGGTATAAGCAGGGTGATAAGTCTCATAAAATTCAACACGATAAAGTGAATGGCAATCAACGACAAGTGAACGAAAAGACGATATTACAAAGTTGTCACAAATTCTTTATCATAACTTTTCCTCATCGTAACTTTTCCAGATAAAATTTCTTGATTTTCTCTGACTTTCAATAATATTTTGAAATATTTTTTTGTATTTTCACCTTAATTTGAAAACCGTCAAATATTTTGTTAAGAGCAATTTAACATAATAATGTTAATTACTATTAATGTTGCTGACATTGTTTGCATTCAATCGTTAAGTTGATAATATTCCAAAACTACATAGGTATGATATATATATGCATATTAAATTTTATTAAAGTCAAGAATTCTTAGAATTTTTCTAGAAAATTTTGCAAAATTCTTACTTTTGCTTCTCTGATCGTCTTTAATTTCGCTGATTTTCAGATTTGTGGCAACTTTGATATAACTGAGGCCGAAAATCAAGTCTCACCTCTCGTATGAGCGCTTCTCCACGAAGCAATCGTACTGATGTGTGGCGAGCATGCTTTCCGGGATGTCTATGCTTGTGTATCTCTCCAAGATTAACGCCCCCGACGACTGGACATTGACGCAGTATAGTTGATCTCTCGTGTCAGATGCAGAAGGGTAGAATCTTTGCATGTCTACAACTACGCCGGGAGAACTGCGAATTCTCGTGGAACTCTGCTAGCTAGAAGATGAGGGATCGTCTGTTGTAATGCTTGAGCTCAACTACTTAACAGCGAGAATAATCGCGTCCGTTGAACCTAGAGCCTTGATAAATTTCTTATTGACATGTACGTCATTTTTATCACTTTCAATAAATCAATATGGATAAGATAATACTAGTAAGCAAATTAGAATAAGATAGTCATAAGATATTCATAAAAAAAAAACATTACATATATCCCTTCTTTTAATTCTTATTTTGATGACAAAATAATTACTGGTGATTTTTTAAGAAACGATCAAATCAAGAGAAAATCAAAATCAATGATCTTCTTTTGACGTCATCAAAATGAAAGTGATGATTTTTTTATTATTAAAGTTAAAAATCAAAATAAAGTTACTTCGTTGATTTTTCATTGTGTGTTCTTTAAGCTGCAAGATTGAGGATCTCTAATTAAGCCTTAATGGCTAGCATTGATTCCTCGTCACACGTTTACGATTTTTTTAATAATACGATTTTTATGCTCTTTCGTGGGAAAATATTTTTACAACATTTAAACGATAAACTAAAATTTATTAAGTAATAACTGATATCAATTGTCTTTTTTTAAATAGATTATCTCTGATTAAAGTTTAACGAGTCAAAGGTGTCCCAGTAGAACAACAAGTGAGGAGCAGACTTTTACTTCACAAAATGCATTTTGTCAAAAATTTATAATTTTTAGAAAACGAGAAAGAAAACCACAAGAAAATTGCGCGCCTTACAGAAAATAACCATTTGCCAATCAGTAAGATGTGAAATGTTCGACAAAATTACTAAACAATCGCTAAAAATGTTAAACAAATGTATTTTGTTTGTCTCTAGTTAAAGGACATAATGCACTTCGAATGTCAAGATTTTTTTCAGTATATAAATTGAAGTGTAGAAATGCTTTCAGAATATTGTAGAGTAGCTTAAAATATGAGTTTCTTAATATTGAACGCTATTGCCCGTATTCATAGTCAAGTTCTTTAAATTTATTTTTAGATGCTCAGCAGTTAATGAAATAATTCGTAAAGTATCTGAAGATAAATTTAAGAAAGCCTTAAATATAAGGCTGAATAAGAATACGAGCATATACTATCTTAACTAAAAAAATAAAATCTTGGACAAAATGTATTTTGGTAGTCTGCTCCTCAAGTCACGATAATGTCAAAATGACATTAAAATGAATCAGACATGATTGAAAAATGACTTTTAATGATAATTATTTTGGAGTCATTTTGATATCATTTTGATATCATAATGACTTGTTGTTCTGCTTGGGTGAACAAGTCAAACAATAAGATTATGATTAAGATTAAAATGAGCTTTCTACAATGGGCTATCTAATCTCATGGTCACGATAATTTTTTTTACATTTGACTGTAACTGGTCAATTTTTTATGATTTGAGACGTAAACTTAGATAACAACTTAGAAAACCCATTTAACGTTTTAAAGAAATATGATGCCGGATAGGCATCAAATATGAATCGGTAGTCGGAAATCTTAAGTCTTAATCAGTTTCAACCCATTATAAATAGATAACTATGATTTTTCGCATCTAATAGTTGTTAATTGTACAGCGAGTCGTTTAGCTCGATTAAAGAGGAAGGAATGAAGTCGAATTTGGTCAATCTTAGAAAATCGGTTGTTGGTTAACTTCACCGATTCACCGATAAGACTTAGGACTACCGACTCATTGTAGACCCGGCATGAAGCGTTATAAAGGATGAAGGATGAGCACTTAAAAATTGTATTATTAATTACCTATAGAGGATCCACGAAATAACAATCAGCACATGAATTTTTGTCAAACCGGAAAGCGTTCGTTACGGTTGTGAGTAGACACGTTGCACGCAAAAGTCCACAGAACTTTATTTCTATCGTCCCGGCGTGATCTTCCTACGATGCGCAAAAAAGCGCGAACTTCGAAAAAAAAAAAATAAAAAAAGTAACAGGATATGCAAGTCAAAAGATTCCAGAATAATCGTCTTTACGCGATCGCGTATATTCCACGAGTTTCCCGCGCCTCATCCTCGAGCCGCTGAGCGATATACCCGCTCGCGTATTTTTGGCACAAGGATCTCAGGTGGTTCGCCCGGGGAAGGTACGTTTCCAAAGAGAGCCCCGGAACTCGCTCGACGTGTCAACGAGCGTGGGCACGTTGCACGTCACGGGAAACGACCGGCGCGGCGGTGGAGCGGCGTGAAGCTGCACGTACCACGCGGATACCGACGAGGATTCCGATTCGAGAGCGAGCCGCTTTCTTTGAAGGAAGCAGCGTGCCACCCTCCGACGAGCCGGGGATCACGAGCCGAGCCGGCGCGCGAGGAACAGAACCGTCCGCCCTTTACTCCGGCTCGCTCTACCTCTGAATCATCCACGTCGCCCACGCATCGCGATGCCGGGGGCTCTGCGTAGGTGAGTTCTCGCGAACCCCTTCCCCGGGCAGCGCCATGCGGTTTCCCCGCTGTACGCCTGCGCCCAGAAACCATGAATGGAAGCGCCCGCTCAATGCTGGACGGTACTTTATTTGCTCGCTCACGGGAGCACTGCGGCAT